TGTTGTGTTTTATTTTCTTAAACCTTATATATTTCATTATCATTTAATTAAGAAATTATTGAATAGAGAACGCCATTATTTTCTACCAATAAGGATGTTTTTTTTCGGACTGAAATTTGCTGGTCTGGTCTGGTCTGATCTGGTCTGATCTGGTAAACGTCTGATCCCTGTGTATTTTATAACTACGGAAGTCTGGTCTGGTCTGGTCTGGTCTCGGACCGAAAACAAAAACATCCTAACACTACTTTAGGTAAATAGTTTTAACTCAACCATAATTTCGTATATACTTTTTTATGTAACATTACTTTGAATAAAAACTTTTGTAAGGCCTCCTCCCACGGCCAGTGATCGGAAAGTGTACTTTTTGGTGGAAAAAATCCTTAAATTATACGGAGTAAGACTTACTCCGGCATTACTTATAGGACCAAATCTGCAACCTAGTAAAATTACAGGACTAATAATGAATATTCGCAAAAGTTATGGTACTAAAATTGCATTTCTTCTCATAAATTTATTCTGATTTTACAAATTTTTTATTTACTTGTTTAAAATAAAAGTTGAGATATATAATTCTTTAACATATATTTGAGAATATATTTGTAACCTCCCCAATATTTGAGTATTTAGGGGGATTTACCTAAATAGGAGTAATTCTTATATTACTCTATTCTTAATTTAATAATTCCCTAAATAGGAGTTATATTTTGCAGTTGGACAAAAATATCCCCAAGCTTGAACAAACGGATGCCCTTGACAAACCACCTGACAGGCCGCCTTCGCCACCGTTGTCCACCACCGACCACCGTGGGCTGCTTCCATAGCTTCATAACTAGCTGCCTCCGTAGATTCGGCCACCGCCTCCGATCCCTCGATATTGAGTTCTTTCACTTTTTCTTATATTCATTACTTCATTTACTGATATGAATTCTAGTAAGAGGTGTAAAATATTATTGTAATGGCAATTATTGAATAAAGATATTACTCTCATACTACGTATTTATAATCTGGAACAGAATTTTTGAAGTAGCCTTTTGAGTTTGAGTTGAGTTCCAATAAAAAAAACTCGACACATTATTAGCTTTTGTGTAGAAGTGAAATCATATACTTCAAACATTTCTCATATTCACAAATAAGATATTGATAAAAGTAACACTTAAAATGAATGAGAAATATATTGTTGAATTTAACTGTTGTGAGTACATTGTAAGGTCTTAGAAATGTTTCATGTCCCTGTGAAATAAATTTTAAGTATTTACTTAAAATTGATCGCAAATAATAATACATATGAGAATATTGGGTACAATCTCTAAATATGAATCTTCTGATTCTTCACTGGCAATTTTAATTTAAAATTAAATCTCTAATTCTTCAAATATCCGGACGTTCTTCGGATCCTCGAATCTTCGTTCTTGAAATCTTCGAATCTTCGTTCTTCGGATCTTCAAATCTTCTTGAATACAGAATTCAGATTGAAAGGCTTTCGGTTTTCAAGTGGTTTGATCTTCAACAAAAGAGCCGTTTTATGGATTGATCTCCTGTTTGAGGGTCTCCCGGGATATATGCCTTGATCTTAAATTGAATTTTGATTGAAACTTCATATGAACATCTTCAAATCTTCAAAAATTCCTTCTTCAGGTCTTCGAATCTTCAAAGCATCGTTCTTCAGATCTTCGAATCTTTGAGCTTCGTTTTTCAGATCTTCCAACGTTCTTCAACTTTTTGATTTATTTTATTAAGAATGAACAAAATCACAAAGGATTAATCGTATATTCTTAATAAAATTCGCAGCTTGAGCTGTTCCTCTTTTTCGAAATGGTTCAGAGCCTTTCGGGAATTCCTCAAAACTTTTCTGCAGCGTTTCTTCGGTTGGAAGTTCTCTCCTTATTCCTCTCAACTGAGACCCCTATTTATAGGTGTGGAGGGGGATAAAATATGGCCTAAGGTTGAATAAATCCGTCCATACCTCATGGACCCTATTTAAAAAGGGGCTTTAGGCTCTATTTGCTTGTATTTTAATAGCTAGAAAAATCATCACTTGTTCGATGTATCCAGACAACTTTCTTAACAAGTTTCGGAGTTATTTATCCTGTTTATGGACATATTTCTTAACTAGATTCGTCCTCTCTATCAATTGGATCATGTCTCTTATATATTCAGTCACTATTTAATAATGGGCTCAAAATAGAAATATTAATAGGACTGATCCATTCTTTTAAAGTCATAATTTAAAATTAAATTAATTGCGTATTTTAAATGACCAAAAATAACTCAATCACTAAATTTTATCTGGATGAACCCATATTAATATTTCCATTTAAACAAGGCCCAACAATTGTCACAAGCAGCCCAGTAAAATTCAATGTTGACCCAGTAGCATTCAAACAAAGCCCAATATGAGTTCCATTGACTAACAGAACCGGCCCAATAATTTTTAGATGTCCACAAATGCCCTCAAGATTTACTTCAAGTGTTGTTTAGCAAGAGAAGTAATTCTCGATTATGGATCCATTATTATCCATAGCATTTTGAAAGTGCATGTCAGCTCCTTAATCAAGTTTATTCAAGATTAAATGCCCCAAACAATATCTTCGATATAGAAATACGGTCCATTAGTAAGTATCCAAGGATTTTTTTTTTTGGACAATTGGGTCGGTGACACTTTTGGTACTCGACTTTCAACTTTTCCACTTTTAGTCTTAGACTATTGTGTGAGAGACACTTTAGTCCTCGAATTCAAAATTTTCACATTTAGTCAGGGCCGGTCCTGTCTATTTTCGAGCTTATGGGCGAGATAATATTTTAGACTTATATTCAAGACAAACAATAAACTATACTTATTGAAAATAATTATTAGAATAAAAAATCTAATAATGGTCATAAAATAAAAAGGAATCTCTTTATCATTTAAATACATATTTGGTGAAAAGTAACAACACAAGTATCACATAAAAGAAAAACATTACTTAAAGTCTTCTCAGAGAACATTGTGAAGCAAAATGATCAATAATTGCTTCCTAATCAGCTTTTTTCAAAATCTCATGTTCAATACTTAGAATTTCTAACCCATGAAGTCTTTCTTAAGACAGTTGATCGCAGATAATTCATCAGAATCTTCAACTTTGAAAAAACATTACTAAAAAACGTTTCTCGCGGAATTTTCAAGATTTAATTTCTTAACAAAAACAATTTTTTTCATTGACCCCTTCTAACTTAAGCCTACATTTTCTAATCTTCTCCTCTTTCTCTCTTTATCCCAACCTGATTCACCCATTTTATCAAGAATGTCTACTGGTCATTATTGAATTGTTTGAAGTCTTGAAAGAAGATGTTTTTTGGTCACCGATAGTCGTTTGGCCTCCACGATTGATTGATATCTTAGCAAACCGCTGAGGCACTCACTGCTTTACAGCGTTCTTTAATCTTGTTAATTTTGGAATTCGGAAACAACAAATAAATTTGGATGGACTTTTCCAATTGAGAGTTTTAGAATTGGGAGGCTTAATATAACTTGGTAATATTGTAATTAAAAGGATTATAAAATGTAGAGATGTGAAGACAACTAAGACGGACGTACCTCTCTACATTTATTTTAAAAATGAAATATTGGGCCTAATTAATTAAGTTTAAAAAATAAAAAAAGAAGCCTACTCACACTACATATAAAAAAAATTTGAGGGTAAAAAGAATGAAATAAAAAAGAAATAAAAAGTAACACATCCATACATTGTACGAAGTATTTGATATTGTGAAGAAAAGGTAACTAAAAACATATATAACCTATCAGATACGGAGGTGAAATAAATATTCTACTTATTAATTTTTATGTGTTTATTTCTCTCATGTCATGTATGCATTGTTCGCGTTCTTTCATATGAGATGCTCTAAATATCATCATCAATTATGGTAAAATAAATATGGCATGTATAACTTTGACTACATGTGCATGCTGATGATTATTAATGTTGTGTTATGATTATAGTAAGTTCTGACATTGAGTTTGCTTGAGAACAAGTAAAAGATTAAGTGTGAGAAAATTTGATCGGTCCTAATTTCAACACGCATTTTGGAATTGTCAAGATTTTCATCCTTGGATTGTCAAGATTTTGGGATTCTTTGTATGTTCAACCTTTTAATTAATGAGAATTAATTATTTCCTTCTCAATTCTATTTTAATTATATTCAATTATGAATTGTGAGTACTTTTAGTTAGAGATTTGAGATTGATGAATGTGTTAATTATGATCTAGGGACAATGATTAGTTTAATTTCTTGATGATTTAATTGTATGATCTTAATTTAATTTGTGTTTGAATTATTTATTTGATATCTTTTATAACCTAGAATGATCACTAGGATTATAATTTGACATAGAATAAATTAAGAGACGTCTAATTTATTCTAGGACACTTCCACACACATTAATACCATTCGCTAAAAGATTAGTAATGATTATGGAGCCATATGCTCGCTCGTTATGGCTTTAGAAACTTGTCGCATGAGAGATCAACTTGATTTCCTAAATTATTGCACTCTATAGTCTATATTACGTCGCCAGAGCGGTAAAAATCTAGTATTGAGCTGCATTGTTCAATTGAATAATTTTCATGTGATTAAGCCTTATAAGCCTCGAAATTTGATTCCACAACATTTAATGTCCTAAAATCTAAATCTCGCACATCGCATTTTATTTGTTCATTTTATTCGCTAAATATATGTAATTCCTGATTTGATCTGTTTCCGTATATGTGGAGACGATACTCGTACTAACACTCTTTACTGCTACATCTTTTTATTAGGGAGAGAGAAACTCACATCAATATATAGCTATTAATAAAAGTAAAAGATCACTTAGTTTGAAGTTACATAACAAATACTACGTACGTACGAAGTATATGAATGAAGGTTATTGTCTTATATTTGAAATGACGTTGACATAATTATTGCAAAGTCTGGCCAGTTGTTAATATAAAGAGCCTGATCCAGATGATTCGAAGGAGAAACTTCATCCCATCCACTTGATCAATTCCAGTTGCCACTAGCTCCGAGAGTCCGAGGCTTTACTGGAATCGTCGAAGAAATGAGGCAAATGTTCGGCGGCCCCGGAAAGATGAGCGGGATAACAATGAGGATACTCCAAGGCACCTTTGCAGCCATTTCTCTCGGTATTCTATGTTCTGTTCCCAGATTTTATCTGGTTACTCCCATCTGGTAGAGCTCCGATCCTCCCTATACTGAGTACGATAGTATTTGCTTTTGCTACATTGATCGAAGAAATGCATTTTATTTCTACGTTTTGACCCTATGTTACGTTTATTTGACCAGCTTCCTATTAGTTCAACAATGTGTTCAAGTCATGTGGTGTCTTATACTCATATGCCTTGACCTCAAGGTTGTGCTGTTTGGGGGAAGGCTACCCTCCCATATCCATGTGTTGGTCATCATTCTTTTTGATTGGGTATGTACTTCTCTTCATTAACTATTTTTACGTAACATTTTTGTTTTAATTAAGCTGTCTCGATCTTTTTGCTTAGGTATTACTAATTAGTATGTACGAAGTATATATTTACTAATATGCGAATTGAATATAAATTGCACGCATTTGCATGTATATATATATATATATATATATATATATATGCAGTGTATATGGATGTTATCCCTTGGAGCCGCATCCTCAGCCGCGGCGCTGGATGACTTTTTCCGGGCCACCTCCATTTGCGAAAAGGGGCACGAATACATCTGCAGACGTTACATGGTGGCGCTCATCATGGCTTTTATTGTTGTGGCATTGCAAGCCATCTCCGTTCATATCTGGATGTGGATTGCAGCCTCCTCGATTTTGTAAGCTTTTTTTTATTGCCCCAGCTACCACCTACAGGGGGGGAAGTATTATATTGTTAACATTTTTCTCAAAAGTATTATTGAAGTGGAATTGATTTACGAAAAATATTTTAATAAGGTTTTATATTCACTTACTACGTTTAGTATATTTAAAAATTAAAATTGAACATAACTTACCCGACTAAAGTTACTATTACATATACTAAGCAAATTTTATTTTAATCATTCGTACTAATCTATTCTTCCTTTGGCAAAATTAACAGGCCCAGGCTAAATTAATCGTCGGCGTGCTCGATGCTGCATTTTGAGTTGCGGCTTGTGATTTGTTTCATTGTTTCGCTATGTAATGTACCCCTTAGTAATTAGTGCATTAAAAGTAGCTTAATTAGGTTGGTTTTGTATATTAATTGTAGTTTTATCTTGCATAATAAATCTTGTCTCGTCTTAGTTTCATATTCAAAAGTTTGATCATTTTTAACTTTTTATCACCGGGTGAATATATATATTGTCCATATAATAGACTACATACATTTTTAAAGGATGGAGAACTCAATAAGACCTCGCAATAACACACCATATTTTTTATTATACTGATTTCAACTACAAATCAAATCCGATTAGATCAGATTAAATATTGAGACTACACTAAACTACCTCCGTCGTTCTATTTTATGTGTCTTAGTTTGACTCGGCACGGTTATTAATGAAGTGGTTGAAAAAGTAAAAGTTGTGGTTGAGATTTGAGTTTAATAAAGTGAAATGGTGTAGACCACATATTTCTTTCCAAAAAAGAAAATGAGACACTTATTTTGGGATAACCCAAAAAGGAAAGTAGGACAGGTAAAATGGGACGGAGGGAGTAGTAAACTACACATAAAACATACACGGCCAATTTAGACAAGACAACACCATACCAGACGTAAAAGATCATATATACTAGACCAGATTAGACTAGAAACTTTCATTTCATTTAAAAGCATCATGAGCGAATTAAAAGCAAATTGTTGTTTTAATAAAACACTCCATTCTATTTATCTATTTTTCACGAGGCAAATTGCAAAATGTTACGTTGTTTCAATTGGCGAATTGATTAAAAACATTTAAACAACAATATACACATAACACATGTACGTTATATATGATGCATAATCATATAATGGGATTGCGCGAATTGTTCACAAACTCAACAAGTGGTTTGTGGATAAAAGAGGTGGTAGTGGCTTGTATTATTGTTTTCCATTTTTGAGCCAACATCATTCAAAAAATAAGAATTTACTACTAGCCAGATTTTGTCTAAGTTCCAATACCATTGGTTGGAGCTGAGAATTGACAACCTCATAAATACAAAAACTTATATTGGAATGTAAATTGATACTGGAAAGTTTGAACGCATATGAAATGATAAGTACAAAAACCGGTGAGCGTAAACATCACTTAGCTTAATTGCAAGTTAATTTTATAACACTGCCAAAAAGAAAGTTGAGCTCCAGGCCATTTAAATCGATCTCCTAAATGGTGAAGATGATAGGAAAATGGACCACGGAAGCACTGCTGTTTAACTTTAGAAAAGATGCTCATTTACGGAATAGGTTAGCAACACAAGAGGGGGGTGAATTGTGTGTGTGTGGAACCGTGGCAGTTTTTCGCCGAGTTCTAGTGTGGGATAAAGGGAATTGCGAAATAGTAAAGTGCACAAGAATTTAACGAGGAAAAATCCCTTGGCTCAAAGGGATTAAAAAACCTCGACCTCCCTCGGAGGAATTTTAAACAACTTCACTAAACAAGCCTTTGAAAGAGTTACAAGAGTGATTCTTCTAATCTACCCTTGAGCCTCCCCAACTCTATCCTCTCTAGGAAGAGTTATGCATCTCTACCTTGCGGGTAGAGAGCCTCTCAGCTTTATCACAAAGCTCTCACACACACTTAACCCGAGGCAACTACTCTAGCCAATTAAGCCTCAATATTCCAAGTACAATATGAAAGGGAAAAGAAAACTCTATCTAGAACTCCGTGTGGGCAGTTTCTGGCGCCTTGAACTTGGTATTTCTCTTGAGTGTTTCTCTTGATATTTTCTCGGTCAAGCTCACCCTATTTGCGTTTGGCTGCTTCGTTTATATAGGCTGTCTTGGCAGACCGTTTTAGCACCCTTCCTTGAATAGTTGATCTTCTAATTTTGGGACTTGCCTTGATATTTTGAATTGCTTTCCTTTCATAATATTTCCCATATCCGAGCTCAATATATAAGGCAGTCAAATTAAAATATCCAACATTTAATATTCATATATTCAAGGTAGCAACATAGTCACGAATTGCCCATTCAAATCACGTGTAAGTATTTTGAATTAATTATCAAAGAGAGCAAGCTTTGGTCAACTTTCAAAAAGGTAGGAAATCATTCCATATGAGAAAGGATGCAACGGCCAGAACATATATTTCTAACAAGTCATGCACTAAAAATATATTCTTGCCTTATTATAATAATCTTGATTAAGTAAGTGGTCTTTTTGAATTGGGCTCACATAAAGAAAGTATATTAGCTAGTAACCAAATAAATCATGCACCCAAATACGAAAGATAATTAAGTAGGTGCAAATATATTAATTCAAGCCAACTATCTTTATATTACAAGCAAGTCAAGATTACTTTCCATAAAGTAAAAAGCACAATTACTTTTTATAAAGTTAAAAGCACAATTACTTAAGTGGGTGTCAATTTGGTCATCATGAAAAGCTATATTACGTACACACATATTAATCCAAGAGTGCACCAATTAAATCACAAATTATATCACGTAAGCACATGAACTAGTTTTGTCCTTTGTCGCTTAAGGAACTGTGAGCGGTTCTGTCCGCCGTTCCACCTGTATGGTTAGTCATCAACAAAACAACATATTCAACAAATTCCCCCTTTTTGTTGATGACAAACATTAGGTGCCATCATAATGGTGTCCCTGCAGAAAAGAGATTTTTTTTTTTTTTTTTGCACCTGATTTTTCCCCCTTTTGTCATTCAACAAAAGGAATAATAATAAAAATGCCCAAATGAGGCCGGAAGGTCCTGCATGCTTTCTTCGCAACTAGTAAAAGAGATTAGTTCCAGTGATTCCCATTATTTAGGAAATAAGAAGTAGAACAAATAATTTAGGAATTAATTAGACCGAGTTCCAGTCTAATTAGTTCAAACCTTTCTCTTCCCAGAGGCTTGGTAAAGATGTCGGCAATTTGCTTGTCGGTGTTGCAATACTCGAGCCGGACTAGTCCCTTTTCCACACAATCTCTCAGAAAGTGATGTCGTATATGAATATGTTTTGTCCGAGAATGCATGACTGGATCCTTTGAGATGCTAATAGCACTTGTATTATCACACATAATTGGTGTGCATTTTAGATCAACTCCGTAGTCGCTTAACTGTTGCATGATCCACAGTGATTGAGAGCAGCATGATGCAGCAGCTACGTACTCAGCCTCCGCTGTTGAGAGTGCTATTGAGTTTTGTTTCTTAGAACTCCATGAAACTAGACATGGACCCAGGAATTGAGCAGTTCCAGACGTACTTTTTCTATGTAATAAATCACCTGCAAAGTCAGAATCTGAATATGCAATTAGTTCAAAATACTCATTACGAGGATACCATAGGCATAAATCAGCAGTTCCTTTGAGATATTTGAGGATCCTTTTCACAGCCTTGAGGTGAGATTCTTTGGGATTGGCCTGGAACCGCGCACATAGACCTACGCTGAAAACAATGTCAGGTCTACTGGCAGTGAGGTACAGTAGGGACCCAATCATTCCTCGATACATCTTTTGGTCTATGCTCTTTCCTTGTTCATCCGCATCCAGCCTATCATTTGTTCCCATAGGTGTAGTCATGGTTTTGCCTTCACTCATTCCGTACTTCTTTAGGAGTTCCTTGAGGTACTTTTGTTGAGATATTTGAGTTTCTTTGCTTGATTGCTTGATTTGTAGGCCAAGGAAGAAATTAAGTTCCCCCATCATACTCATCTCAAATTCGGAACTCATAAGATTAAAGAATTCATCACAAAGAGAATCGTTAGTAGCACCAAAAATAATATCATCAACATAAACTTGAACAACCAATAGGGCTTGATCTTTTATTTTTAGAAAAAGAGTTTTATCTATTTTTCCTCTTTCAAAACCATTTTCCAAAAGAAATTTAGATAGGCGTTCATACCAAGCACGAGGTGCTTGTTTGAGGCCATAAAGTGCTTTATCTAATTTGAAAACATGATTAGGAAAATCTTGATTTTCAAAGCCCGGTGGTTGTTCTACATATACCTCTTCCTTTAGATATCCATTCAAGAAAGCCGTCTTGACATCCATTTGGTGGAGGGTGAAACCCATATGAGCCGCAAATGCTATGAGCATTCGGATTGCTTCTAGTCTTGCCACCGGTGCAAATGTTTCGTTGAAGTCTATTCCTTCTTGTTGGTTATAACCTTTGACAACAAGCCTAGCTTTGTTCCTTGTGATTTGACCATGTTCATCGAGCTTGTTCTTGAATACCCACTTGAGACTTATCACAGTCTTGTTCTTGGGTCTCGATTCTAGATGCCACACCTTATTTCTTTCAAACTGATTTAGTTCTTCCTGCATGGCTAGAACCCAGTCAGTGTCGGAGAGAGCCACTTCATGGTTCTCCGGTTCTATAAGAGATAAATAAGCAGAGAAAGCACAAAAGTTTTTAAGTTTAGATCTAGTTGTTACTCCCTGATTTAGATCGGTGAGGAGATTATCCAGCGGATGTGATCTATGAAGCTTCCAACCCCTAGGAGCGTTGGGTTGGTCCACCAAGTTGTTGAGAGTATCTGAAACTGGTTCTACCGGTTCTACAGGTCCAGTGTCAGTGTTCTGTCCAGGTTCTTCTTCAGTTCCAGATTGTTCATTTTCATTTGTTAGAGGTGGTTCACCAGTTTGATTGTCAGTTCCTTCATCTCCTTGAGATTGTGATTTCTTGCGAGTGATCCCTAGCTCACCATCATCGGCTTGGATTGATTTTGAGGCAAGTGCTTCATCAAAGATTACATGAATGCTTTCCTCCACACATTGTGTGCGTTTGTTTAGAACTTTGTAGGCCTTGCTATGTGGGGAATATCCGAGAAAGATTGCCTCGTCACTTCTAGCATCAAATTTGCCGATGTTGTCTTTCCCATTGTTGTAGACGAAACATTTGCACCCAAAAGTTCTTAGATGACTTATGTTGGGCTTCCTCCCCTTGAGCAGTTCGTAGGGTGTTTTCCCTAGGAGTGGACGTATCATGGCTCGATTAATGATGTAGCATGCTGTGTTTAGAGCCTCTGCCCAAAAACTCCTAGCTAGACCGCTGGAAATAAGCATAGTTCTAGTCATGTCCTCCAGAGTTCTATTCTTCCGTTCTACCACTCCGTTCTGTTGTGGAGTTCTAGGTGCGGAGAAGTTGTGGTCTATCCCTCGTTCTTTGCAGAAGGCATCGAAGAGAGAATTGTCAAACTCAGTTCCATGATCCGATCGGATCTT